AGATCTCGAATTCTCTCTTCCTCTGCAAACTCAACATTATCAAAGAATCAGACATTTCTCATCTTAAAAAATATCTTATCAGTGGGATTATAAAACTTGTAACCCCTGGATCGTTAAGAATAACTAATAAAATAACAACTAACAGTTCTTGAATCTAGTTTCTTTTCATATGGTCTGTAAGGCATGACCTCAGCTGGATATCCCAAATGTACAAATGCTTTAAACTAGATGTCTTTCCGATTCAAAACTTATAAGATGTCTTTGTAGTCGCTTTAGTTGGAACAATATTGAGTATATATATATTGCGGTCTTTAATACTTCTCCCTAAAGAGATTCAGGGAAGATAAAATAACTAATCATACTCCTCACCATATTCTTAAGTGTTCTGTTTTGCCTTTCAGCAACACCATTCATGTTAAACGAACTTAGTATGGTGCACTGTGGGACAATACTGCATTCCTATAGGAATCTAGCAGACAATTCTAGATGTTGTTTATCTGATCCGTCACATCTACCATAGTATTCACCATCACGGTAAGATCTGACAGCTTTAATTCTTTTGTTATGTTGGTTCTCAACTTTAGTTTTAAAACTTTTGAACACATCTAGTGACTGATTTATCATGAATGAGATAAAGGTAGTCATATATAAAATAGTAATATATGAACAATATGAAATATTGTTGATCATTCCAAGAAACTTTATGGAATGGTTCACATATATCTATATGAATAAGTTATAATACGTGCATAGTCCTGTTGGCACCTAATCTCCTGATATTTGTTTGTTTTTTCTTAATACAATTCACACACATCAAAATCTGAAAAATTAAGGGGATCAAGAATTTTATCCGACACAAGTCTTTTTGAGATATGATATAATCTCTTCTGTTATAATGAGACAGAATTCTCACTGGTTAATTTACGCTTTACATCTTGTGTACTCACATGCAATGATTCATTAAAAAAAAAAACAATTGTATCAAGCAAATAAAGATTATTATGACCTGATAAAGAACCAGTACCAACCATATTTGAATTATGAAAAAGACTAAATTTTTCATTTTAAAAAGAACAAGAATGACCAAATTTGTTCCAAACAGAAATAGAAATTACATTTCATTTAAAAGATGGTACAACATAAATCTCATTCAAATTCAAATAATAATAAGTTTTTAATAATAATCTAAATGTGCTAATCGTTTCAACTTCCACTGGTTTGTTGTCGCTAACATAAATAAATCTAGTATCTTCACGTGGCTTTCAAAAACTCAAACAACCCTATATAGACATAATAATATGAGTTGTTGCACCATAATCTATCCACCACATGTGTTTAGGTACCGAAGTTAAATTAACCTCAGAACAAACAAAATTAAGAAGTACCTTTTTTTGCACGTCATGCATGATAGTTGGCTCATTACTTCCTCTGATGACCAGCAACTTTACAGAACAAACAGACATCCGCAGTTTGTACCTTCTGTTGTTTATTATATGGTGCTTGAACTGTAACACTTTTACCTGTTTTCCTTTTCTTATTTTTCTTGTCCTTTGATTATGGCTAAGTGAGCACTCTTTGTTTTTTCATTCTTTAGCCTTTCCTCCTCCTGAACACAGTAAGAGATGAGTTCATTGAGGGACTAGGATTCATTCTGCCAATTGTAGCTCACCTTAAACAAACTAAATTGTAGTAGAAGAAAAATCAAAACATAGTGCACTAGTAATTTTTTTGATAATTCTAGTCTTAGTACCTTAAGCTTAGAATATATATGAGACATCTCCATAATGTACTCCTTTATGTTTTATTTTCCTTTATATCTTATGAAAGTAAGGTTCACCAAGAGTGTACTAGCTTCAGCCCTCTCATTTTTGGCAAAACATTTCTCGAGAACCTCAAGAAAATCCTTAGCCATAGAGATCTCATCAGACATAATGCCCCAAAAAGCTTCTGAAATAATACGTTTCATGACCAGTAAACTAATGTGGTTCAACCGTTCCCACTGTTCTACCTCCCTTTTATCTTCAAAGATACTATCAACAATAAGTGGATCGAGTTGATCGAATCATAAAGTAAGATCTAAATCCATAACTCTAAAAATAATGATAATATTCTTTTTTCATGCCATGAAGTTTGTGTCATTTAACTTTGGGTTAAAATTGACACTCACGGAGATATTTTCAACAGAATCGGAAACTGAATAAAGAACAGACAACAACCAATCAATCAAGATTCATTAAAATCTTAAAGTATAAATAATAATAATGAGTTTAAATAAAAATAAATCCTATCTAAAGATATCACACACTCCATTAACGCTCTATCTTTGGATATAATATTGACTTATAAGTAATATCTTCTAATAGTAATTAGATACTGATACTAAGAACACACTAAACAATAAATTTTCTTTTGGGCCGATTTATAGATCACATGCTAAATTGAATAACTATCACACATTTATTATTTCAAATTGGAATTCAATTATATTAGACATTAATATTCGTTTGGACGGATTAATATTCATATAAATTACACTCATACAACCGTTTATATTTTAAAATTAATCAACTTAACACAAAAGATGTTATTTTGATGAGATGTTGTATAAATCAATTCATTTGAAAATGCATATATATACACCAATATTTAAATTTAAAATTATACTGAATTTATACGAAGAAAAATATATGAGATATCCTTAAAAATCGAGAACAATTTTTTTTTCCCTAAATCTGGTCAAACATTGAGGTTTGACCGATCAATGATAGCTTTTTATTCTCTGATACCTGTAGGATTTCAAAACAATTTAAGTCTGAAATCAAATAACCGTGGTTATATTAAATCAAAAGGATTAGGTTTGTAATCAGAAGCATATCTGAATTGATAGTGAAAAATCTGCACGTAGTACGGTAGATTTTTCAAAGCGACACGTGACCTTTTAAACTCTTTTTTTGTTGATGAGATAACAAAAAAAAAAAAACACTACATGTAATTTGAGAATCAAAACTATTTTTTTATATCGTCAAATTTTATTATTTTCAATTTAATCCATTATAAAATTAAAAATAATTGTTTTGATCTTTACACTTGAAGTTCATATTTTACTATATGCATTAAGATCCAATATCCATAATCGATCATTTTTAAACTGGTTCAATAAAATCAATAATTTTTCATGCAACCTTAATTAAACCCACATTATCAATTAAAAAACCCAACAGAGAACTGACCAAATCTTCCAACTCCTGAGGTAATAAATTAATTTTTCATTGATCTATACATAGATATATCAGACTGCAGGAATTAAGACCTAATAATGTACATGTGTGTGTGTGTGTGTGTGTGTGTGTGTGTATGTAGATTGCAGGAATTAATTTGGGGAAGTCCAAATAAAACTAATAATAATTGTATTTGGGAAAACATGCTCTATCTTTTGACGTAATAAATTAATATATATTTAGGTAGTTGAACAGTATTGATTTTACACGTACCTTTTTATGGCCTTGTTTCTTTTTTCTCTCCAAACAAACGGCCGGTTCAGATTTTCCAATAAAGAGTTAACATATATTTGTTATTTTATTTTATTTAGTATTTTCAAACTGTGTTCGGTTTTTTTTTGTCACAACTGTTTAAACTATATATTTGATTTAAAGAAGTTATAAGTATGTGCTAGAAGTGCTAAAAGTTTCAAATATTTACTGAAAAAAAGGTTCTACCATTTTGAAAATTTCAACTTAGCTCATTAATCTTCACTCGAAATTTTTACTTTGAGATAGAATATTTAATATATGTCACTTTATATTTACATTAAAAAAATATAATTACAATAAAAAAATTATTTACCATTTTAGATATTTAGTTATTTTTATATAATAAAATATTATGCAATTAATATTATAATTAAGAAAATTAAACAAAATATTTCAAACAATAAATTTAATAATGAAAAATTATAATTCTTATTGGGATAGACTATATTTGAGATTATTTTAAAATATTTTATATGAAATACATAGATAAGTTTTAATATAAAACTAACTAGTTGTCTTTCTTTAACTAAAAATTTATAATTGAAGAAACTTTGGGAATATTTTAGATTTGAAAAAGAGTCAGGCCTCTAAATCTTTTAAGGCTTGAAATCTTGTAAACTTATTAAATTAGAGCCTAAAGTCATATAAATTAATTTTAAGCCCCAAAATGAAAAAGTCAATCTAGTTAAAGGCAACCTCTCTAAAAGATCAAAGGCAGCACGTAAAATATATGAAGTGATAGATGATCTAAATTAATTTAATTATGCATCAATTACTATTTAATTAAATTGTTGATATGCTTATTTTTATGGATTCAAATCGAGTTTTGCTTCCATGTGTCGTAGTTTCAAAATTATTTTTTATGGTGTTATAAATGTTTATTTTATATCAATTATATTGGTTTCTACTAAAAAAAATTAATTTGATTATGTTAAAATTATAATATCTCGGTAGTTATTTAAGCTAACTCTCTTTGGACATTTATGCCAGAGATCTTAACGTTACTAGTGAGTCAGCATATCAGCATTAATCAAATTGAGAGATATAATTAAAGGGTATCTAATCTAGTCTAGTTAATTATAGATTGGACAAGCGAGCTTTGACTCCTGATAGAGTTCATGGTGTGAACACTTGATGATTGACCATTTTTGAACTAATAATGTTCCTGTCAACTGCTATGTTGTCTCTGATATGATACAAAACAACACAAAACCCACCTGGGTTGTCTTTTCCAGATTAGGCGTATTCATAATTAGTCATGCAATATTTATATACAGTAATGACTGACATTGACGCCTCCTTGCATGCTGCATTTTGCATCACTTTTAGTGTTGTTAGTTGAAGATGATGAAAGATGATGTTTTTTCTGCTTGGTGATTTAACGATAATACATGATAATGATGATTGTGATGATAATGGGTGTTAATTTTATATATGGTAATATTATACATGTTATGTATGCATATTCAGCTGTGGCAACTTGAGGCACTGTTTTTACAACTGGACACATACGTAGACTATAATCAAGAACTGAGCCAGAACTTAGAGAGAAGCCACGTACAGAGGTTGAGCAAAAAGTTGATGTATTTTGTGCAAGATAAGTGGAGAAGAATTTGGGTGTTTTCAGTTTGGGTGATGATCATGATTGGATTGTTTGCATGGAAATTCTTTCAGTACAAGCAAAAAAGTGCTTTTCAGGTGATGGGTTATTGCCTTCTCGTAGCCAAGGGTGCAGCCGAGACACTCAAATTCAACATGGCTCTTATCCTCTTGCCTGTTTGTAGAAACACCCTTACCTGGCTCAGGTCCACTAAATTCAGCTTCTTTATCCCTTTTGACGACAATATCAACTTTCACAAGGTTAATGTACTATGCAATGTCATATAATAACTATATGTAATTTGTATATTCTTTCTGTATCTAACTATATGTTTATGTACGTACTTCTAGATGATTCCAGCAGCAATTGTAATTGGTGTAATTCTTCATGCTGGAGATCACCTCGCATGCAATTTCCCCAGGATTATAAATGCTTCTTCTGATAAATATAATCAGTTTTTGAGTAGAAATTTTGGTACCCATAAACCCACATACTTAGACCTTGTTAAAGGTCCAGAGGGTGTTACAGGAATTTTAATGGTGATATGCATGGCTAGTGCATTCACATTAGCAACAACGCGGTTCAGGCGAAACCAGATTAAGCTTCCAAATCCCTTTCGCAGATTTATTGGCTTCAATGCCTTCTGGTATTCACACCACCTGTTTGTCATTGTCTACATCCTTCTTATCATCCATGGGGTTTGCCTTTATCTCGTGCATAAATGGCACCTCCAGACGGTATTTTAATTATAAAAGCTTTCCTTCTCATCAATTACCTTGCATTCCCTAGTTGAGTACATGACTTCAGATATTAGATATTGAGATCATTTCTTTTTATCAATTATTCAGACATGGATGTACCTTGCTATCCCAATTTTATTATATACTGGAGAAAGAACTCTTAGATTTTTTCGCTCTCGCTCCTACACTGTCCAAATTTTGAAGGTAAAGTGCAGGAGTTTCTGAATATGATATATATATACATAATAATTCAAAGTTATTTGCCTTTTAACTTATTTTTGTGATAATTTAGGTTGGGATTTACCCTGGAAATGTTCTCAACTTGGAAATGTCTAAGCCTTCTAAGTTTCGATACAACAGTGGACAGTATATATTTGTTCAGTGCCCTGCTGTTTCTCTATTTGAGTGGTGAATACATAATGATGATCTTATTTTGAATCTATATATTATACACAATAGTCCTATGTCCTCTTTGAGTGCTTGATCTTAATAACTCTGTAGATTATTTGATACTACTGTTCGTTTAAAAAATGACTGATCAGGCATCCATTTTATGTTACCTCTGCTCCTGGCGATGACTACTTGAGTGTTCACATTAGGACAATAGGTGACTGGACACGAGAGCTTAAAAGGGTATTTACAGGAGTGGGCGAACCTCCTCCAGTCAGAAAGAGTGGACTTCTAAAGACTAATGAAACATCAAGTAAAAGGTACGTTAGATTCCTCTTTCATATATGGTCATAGTTTTGACTTTCCTAAACCAATTTGTGACTCTACTCTCTTAATAGCATTTTGCCAAAGCTCTTTATAGATGGGCCTTATGGTGCCCCCGCACAAGATTATAAGAAGTATAATGTTGTGTTACTTGTTGGTCTTGGATTGGAGCAACACTCTTTATCAGCATCTTAAAAGATCTGCTCAACAACATCATTGAAATGGAAGAGCAAGCGGTCAGTAACTAATGATGCTCATAATCGCTGATAAAAGAAGCAAAATCTGACACTTGTTCTTGGGTCTGTAGGATTCAGACTCAGATTTAAGGAGAACATCAGACCTGAGTGCAGGGAATAATGATTCCATCAATTCCAGCGGTGCTTTTGCAAAAACAAAAAAGCTTGTGAATACCAATAATGCTTACTTCTACTGGGTAACACGGGAACAAAATTCTTTTGAATGGTTCAAAAGGGCCTTGAGGGAAGTTTCTGACCTTGATCAAAGGGTAGGTTTTTCGTGATCAACTTTGATGTTAATAGTTCTGGTGTTCTTTATTTAGTGATTATGGAAACATGCAGCGTGTGATTGAAATGCATAACTACGTGACTAGTGCGTATGAGGAAGGGAGTTCCCAGTCAGCATTTATCACCATGGTTCATGCAATAAATCATGTCAATGATGGGGTTGACATTCTTTCCGGAACTAGGGTAAGACTAACAACAATCTTTCTCTTTTCATTTTTTTTTCGTTGCTATGTCCTTAAATACTTGCTTAATACACACCCTTCCTTCTTACTTTTTTGTCAATACGATGCTTGTTTATCCATTTTTTCTGTTGAAGGTTAAACTCCAGTATTGCTTTTGTTGGATGGGTTGAACTAAAAACTTGAGTTACAAACTAAGTTATCAGTTCTACAAATAGAGTGTTATCATTTTAACTACATGATCATGACGCCATTGTAAGTCTTGGTAGTTACAATTTTTTAATTTTATGGTCAGTTACGAACCCATTTTGCAAGGCCTAAGTGGAAGAAAGTTCTATCAGAATTAAGTTCAAAGCATAGTAGTTCAAGGATAGGTAATTTTATTCATTTCTAATAAATATATTTATTTTTCAGTTTTTTCAATGTTAACTTGAATGTCTTCGGTGCAGGAGTTTTCTACTGTGGAGCACCGTCGTTGGGTAAAGAATTGAGCAAACTCTGTGATGATTTTAATCAAAAAGATTCTACAAAATTTGAATTTCACGATGCCGAATATGCATGATAAAATTTTACAAATGTACAAGACTCCAGTAATTGAATATGCTCCAACGATCACACTTGAAAGTTTCCCTATGGATGATTCTCCTATTCAAAATATGAAAATGAACTATAATATACTTGAATGTTTTTGGTGCAGGAGTTTTCTACTATTGGGCAAAGTCTGTTATAAGTTTAATCAAAAAGACTTTTAAGAAGTTTGAATTTCAAGACGCTGCATATGCATGATAAAATTTCACAAACGTATAAGGCTCGGTAATTGAATAAGCTCTAACGATCACAATTGAAAGTTTTCCCTATGCATTATTCTTCCATTCAAGATATGAAAAAGAATTATAATATTTTATGTGCAGTAATCAAAACTTTATAGTTGATTCTTGTCATGAAAAAGAAAAACAAAACAAATAAATACGTGTAATTTAGCAAATGCACGATTTCATATATACACACTTTTCTTTGATATATATATTTTTTTTAAAAAATATAATTTAATATATATATATATATATATATTTGTATTTAAAATTTAAGTGTGTATATTATACATGTAAGAAAATTATCTCTAAATATAAAATCATAAATAGCGTGCTATTATGTCACTTGCAGCATTATGTTTGAATTAGTTAATGTCATACTAACGTATTAATGGTGATTGCTTAACTTTCGTTGACACGACTGTAATGTTCAATACTTAATATTTGCTGTTACGATTACGAATTATTCACTAATATTTAACTCCTATTGACAAAATCGCAATGCATAATGATTAATTTTATAAAGCATAATCACGATTTCGCACAGTAGTATCGAAAACTATGATGAGTTTTTTGTTACTTAATTAAAATCGTTAAAATATTAACATGCTAATTTTTATAACAAATAAAAACATAACAATATTCTTATTATATTATTAGTAAATTTAAGGAAAATATAATAATTAACAAAATTATAGTAAGTGAAGTTTGTAAAATAATTAAATTTTAGCAAGTATATAAAGTAATAATTCCATTCACGGGAGCGAAATTTAGTAAAACATAAAATATATGCATGATAACATTTTTAAATTCTCAAGTAGTATATATATATATCTATATATATAAAATAATAATAATAATAGAACTTGAAATTCATCAATAATAATATACGTATGTATATATATATAATCATATATATCTGTATATTATAAAAAAATAAACATATTACTAGATAGTATAAATTATTTCCCTCATTAACAATTCCATTCCTCAAATTAAGCCAAATTATCACCTAAAATAACAAAAATTTTCGTATTCATCAGATCAAACACAAATTTATTGTAATACTGAGCTGGTGGCCGGCTGGTACAAAAGAAAAGAAAAGAAAATAATAATAATAATAAAACATATATATAATTAATTATAAAAAAGGAAAGAAAATAAAAGAAAAGAAAAGAAAGGCCCTGGAAGCATAAGGAAACCAGGTGGCAAATATGTATATGCATATATTTATATATGTGAGTATATATATAATTAAAAATAAAAGAAAAAACAGAAGGGAGAATTATATATATGTGTATATATATAATTAACTAAAGAAAAATAAAAGAAATAAAGAAATAAAGAAAAAAAGAAAGGAGGCAAAGAGCAGTAGAATAGGACCCAAATGGCAAATATATATATATATATATATATGTATATGTATATATATGTAATTAAATAACAGAAAAGAAAGAAAGAAAAGAAAAAGAAAGAGAGGAGAAAAAGGGTCGAGCGGTGTCGACAGTCAAGAGAGAAGGGTTGCGTGGTGTTGCACGAAGCCGCAGCCGAAAGAGAAAGAGAGAGGAGGAGAGCTGCGCGGGTTGTGCGACGCGGTGACACAAGACTGGAAGAAGAAGGAGAAGAAGAGAGAGAAGAATCATGGTTGGGTAGAGAGAGAAAAAGAGAGAAAGAGAGAAGAATAAGAAGAAGAAGAAGAAAGGAAAAAGAAAGAAGAAGAAGAAGAAGAAAGGAAAAAGAAAGAAGAAGAAGAAGAAGAGAATAAGAAAGGAAAAAGGAAGAAGAAGAAAAAGAATAAGAGAGGGAAGAAGAAAGAGAAGAGAGCGCGACGGACTTATCAGAAAAGAAGTTCATGTGCGTGGCGGAGGAAGGATTTACGTGCAGTCAGAGGGGAAGCGTGCGGTGGCCATGGTTCACGACGCAGGAGAGAGAAAGCAGTCGCGAGGAAGAAAAAAAAAATAAAAAAATAAAAAAAGAGAAAAAAAAAAATGAAAAAAAAAAGAAAAACAGAGAAAAGAAAAGAAAGAAAAAAAAGGAAAAAAAAAAAAAAAGCGCTACAATCAGATCTACTGTTGGTACGTCGCACACGGTGACGTGCACTGATCTCGGCATCGGTGCGTAGCATTTCTGGTAGCACACGTGTGGTGGTGCATGGTGAGACTAGTGACCAGGACCACATCTCCCATGGTAAAATTTGTTTCTTCTTTTACATGTGTAATTTTTGAAATTATTCATAAATTAATGTATTTTTTCATTATAAATTAGAAAAATTATTCAAATGGTATCCATATTTACGAGAGAATTATAGATAAAGCCATAAAGAATTTTTAAAGTTTTTTCGATCACACCGAATGTAAAAATTGTGTATTCCGTATGGAGACAAATTATATTTTTATATAAATGTGTATATAGATAGTGCAATATGTGTGAATATTTGAATGTATGTGTAATGTAATATAAATATAATTAATATATTTAATTTGTATTTATGTATGTTTATATAATGTACATATATATATTATTACGTATGTGTGTGTATATATATAAAAATATACGATAAACGTGATACGAACTGATAATAATAGAACTAATAAGAACAAGACTGATAAGAACAATTACGTGAATAATTATGTATGGTGTGTTTTGTGTGATTGTGTATGTATATTTAAGTATGAATGTTTGTATATATATTGGTAGAGATTGTGTGTGAATAAAAATATATATTATGTAGGAAATATGTAGTGATGGTACATGTCTGTATTATAATATATGTGCGTGTGTGTATTAATATGTGTGTACACAAGCTATGCGTGTGAATGTATAATCTACATGTATGAAACAGTGTCCATATTTGTGTTTAATTATGCATAAAAATTAAAATCTTAGGTATGACATAAGTGAATTGGAATTGATAAAGATTTGAAAAGAGTGTAGAGTGTAAGGACTCTGAATACCTTACTTGTTTAGTCTGAATCGAAGAGGGGAGGGTGCGTGTGTGGCTGAAGTTCAGCGGGTATGGTGAACCTGCACATAGATAGTTATTTGAAATCTCGTCCAGATGTTGATAAGTATTTGTGAGCGTGTGAATCACCTAACAAATATAACTGTTATGGCCAATATGAGATTATCTGTCTTATCCATACGATGAGGTGATCTTTTTTGTCTATCCCTGATGTCGATATAAACGGCATTACATGATGAAGCCTTAAATGTGATATTTCAAGTGTATTATGATATTTCGAGTGTAGATGTGATATCTGAGTGTATGTGTGAAATTCAAGTTGAAAAATATTACGAAGAAAGAATATGAATAATAAAAAAAAATAATAATTTGAATTAAGTATAAGATTTCAGAAATAATCTATAAGAATAAGAGTAAAACATAATGAAAAAGTAAGATGAGTTTCGGTTGATATTTTGTTGTGTATTTATTTATGTTACTTAATTGATATTTTTTATGGATTATAAAATATTATTATATCTTACATTTTGTGTGAATGTGTGTATGTAAATTTTTGTTATAAATTTCTTATTCTTATTGAGCTTGTGAAGCTCACCTCAATTCATCTCCGCCCAGGTAGGAGGAGATGAGAAATGAGGTCAAAATCAATAGAAGATGGTGAAGAAAACTTAGATATTCCAATTATTTGTAAACAAATAATTATCCTACAAAAGATGCATATTAAAGTGTAGTTCCGTTGCATATTTAATATTTATCTGTTCTATTAGTTGAAAATATTGTGCAAACATCCGTACCCACCAACATTGAGGATTTAGGCTGTTAAATTTATACCCATTAATGATATACATACTTCTCTTATCAAATCTCTTTGAAAATCTCATCATAAATTTATATGTGTATTCAATATTTAACTATAAATATATGTATACATACGAAAGTCTTGTTGCTGAAAATAAATTAAGGTCACACCTAATCTCATATGAAGAGTTAGAAAATCACAAATAACACATTACTCTATCATCACTAACACAATGTTAGAATTTGTTCTCATAATACTAATATATTGACATGGTCAATGTCTAAGATATGTTGGCAGGATCATAATGGTTAATGTTTGACCTTCATTGTGAAGATTTCGAATTACTAACAAATATTTAACTCCCATTGGCAGAGTAACAATGCACAAGGCAGAATAAGGTATTTTGCATAATAATGTTGGGAGACAATAATTTGCCATTATCCGTAAACTGATTTTTTTTTTGGTTATTTATTCAAAATAACTTAAAATCTTAACATATTAATTATAAAAATACAAAAATGTACTCATTATACAACTTTAGCAAATTTATAGAAAATATAATAATTTGCAAAATTATAATAGGTCAAATTTCTAAAATTTAATAAAACATATAATAGATATGTATTGCATGCTAACATTTTAAGTTCTCAAATATATATATATATTATTTAAAACTAAAAAATATCACTAAATCTATATTCAATGAAAAGAAGTACTCCAATTAAGTTAAACTATCATCTAAAATAATATAATTTTTTCTCATTCGCTAAAACAAATCTAAATTTACATCTACTAAGATTATGAAATTAGTCTTACTGTCTCGGACTCTCTAGAGGGTGATCAACTTTTTTTTTTGTAATGTTTTAATGTGTTAAAATTTTCTAAAACCTAACTCTCCATACCCCGTCCGATATGAGAGACCACATTCCCCGTAGAGTTCCCTATGGACCCGGTCCGTCCACCATCTTCCAGGATATCTAGGTGAAGCTGTCGACATATCCTGATATAAATCACATACCCTTTTTATTTTTTTTAGTCACAATTACCCAATCAACATGAATACGTAAACCCAGTAACGC